TCGGGTCCTGTACCTGGTGAATTGTTTTCTCACTTTCCCCTTCTCTCTCTCTCTCTCTGTCTCTCTCTGGTCAAATAGTAATAATAACAACACTAAATTAAATAAAATAATTACTTTTTTTAAAGCAGTGGTTGCCAGGAGTTAGGGAAGCAGGATGAATGAATAGGCTGTTTTGGGCTGTGAAACTCTTCTGTATGATACTGTAATGGTAGATACAGGACATGAAGCATTTGTCAAAACAATGTACAAACAAATACCGAGAGTGAAACTTAATGTTGACGATGGACTTTAGTTAAGAATACTGTATCAAGGACCAGCAGTTAGCGTAATGGCTATGTCACTGGACTCCCACGTAGTCGACCGCGGTTTGCGTCCCAGACTCGGTGGCTTAAAAACTCACACCGAGCGCGTGTGAGTGCATGCCCAAGATCCCGAGAGGAGAACAGAAGAGAAGGGATTGCGGGGTGGCCATTCCCCCGGGGGGGTGATTTCTCGCTTTCTGCTGTCTCTGTCTGTCTGGTGAGCGCACGTGCCCTATAGAAAAAAAAAAAAACTGTATCAAGAAATAAAAAACAAACCAATAGTGCTCCTAAGACAGCATTAAAGGAAACCAGCTAGGACCTCTGAGGTTGGCGGAGCTGGGCTGGCGCTGGGCTGGAGGCTTTACCAGTGAGCAACGCTGGTTACTTTGCCTCTCATGGCCTCACCATGCTCATCTGTAACATGGGCCCCAGCTCCTCATTAGCAGGGCATTGAGAGAACTAACATGTATCTTGGTGTCTGTAAGGCCTGGCTGAAAGTAGAAATCAGAGCAGAGAATGGCTCGAATTACAATTGGTGTCCAAAAGAAGGGGCTTTGATCCCTTGCTCTCTCCTTCTCTGGGAAGCATTCCCAGCTCGGAGAACAGCCCTACCTTCACATCCACATAGAGCCCAAAACCTCAAGAGCCTTCTGGTACCTGCTTTCTTATACTCCCACCTCCCATCCAATTCATTAGTAAGTCCTTTTAGTTCCCCACCAAATGCATCTCATAGCTCCCCCAAAAACCCGCCTCCAGCACCCCATCCCAAGACTTCACACGCACCCCAGGTCTCAGGGCCTTTTGTACTGGCTAGTCCCTCCACTCTGACCCTCTGTTCTCTCCCAGTTAATCCATATGCATCACCTGCTAGGAGCAGGAGGGGGGCTTCCTGACCTATTTTAAACAAAAGCCTGCTGCTCTGCTCTGTTTACTCTTAACATTTACCACCTGTGAACACTCTCTAGCTCACTTATTGGGTTGTATTAAGTCACCTCCCATGACAGATAGAGGCGCTCCCAGAGTGGGGGATTATGGGTCTCTTCTGCAAAGTGTGAGTCTCTTCTGGTCATTGCTGTGTCTCTGGTGCCTAGAATGAGGCTGGCATTCTGGGGCTCTTAGAGTATTTGCAGAACTCTGTCCCTCGGCCTGCACCGCCTAAGTAGCCTCCTAGCCCCTCTCCCCTACCTTCTTGGGGCTCTCCTCCTTTCTCCACTCACCAGCCTGAAGTGTTCCTGTCACTCCCTGCTTCATTTCCTCCAGAGGCTCCCCACTACTGCAGACTAAATCCCAACCTTTGACCTTGGCCCATCAGGCTCAGGAAGGTACAGGAAACCAGGAGAAACGGGAGAGGCCCAGCAGGCACACCCCAAAAGGCACTCTTAAAATGAAGAACGGGTAAACTGCATGCTGGCCCAACACCTAAGCCAGGTCAGGCGAGGCCCCCTGGCACCATAGGGCACCCCTCTTCCCCACCAAGCGCCCTCAGCTTCATCCCATCTTGACCCCCTGGATCCAGCACACTCACCCTTCCTCCCTCATGGCCTTTGTCTAGTGTTCTCTTGAGCTCCCTGGTCACCCCAGCAAAAGCCCTCCCACTGTCCAGCATCAGCCTTGCCGCCATGGGTTCACTGATTTGTAGGTTAAGGCCTACAGTCTTCCCAGACTGATCCACAAGGCAGGATGCAGTGGTTTGGAGACAGATCCCAGAGAACCCCAATCCCAAACTCCTCCTTTATGCCAGGGTCAGTGGCATGACCTCTGGCGGGTTACTCGGTGCCTCAGTTTCCTCCTTGGACAAACAGGGAACAGTGGGACCTTGCTGGTAGCATTGAGCTGAAGATGAACCCTGCTCAGTCCATGCCTGGCACGTGGAGAGGCCGTTATTACCACTGGGCTTGGTTGTTGTGCTTGCTGCCATCATTTTCATTACCACGGAACTCCAGGGCAGCTGGAGCCAGACTTCCACGGAGGGCACCCCACCCTGTGTTCCAGCCTCCCACCAGCCATCGCTAGTCTTGTGCTAGGCTTTGTACCTGCACCCCAGCAACAGCACAGGTGAAGAAAGCGCTTTGTAGACAGTGCCATCTGATATTATTATTTCTGTGATTATCCTCCTATGAAAATCACAGGACGCCAGAGCTGGAAGGAACCTTGGAAATGTCTCAGCCTAGATAAAGAAATCAAGTTCCCCGAGCAAAGGAAGGACTTGCCTAAGGTCACATGTGGCCCACAAGCCAAGGCTCTTTCCAAAAAAAACCCAGGGCTGTTACCCTATGAAGGGCAGCCTCTGGATTCCTGTTGCCAGCTTCTGCCCTGGGGAGAAACTTCACCCAAAAAACAACACTGACATTCGTCTTCCCAACCCAGGCAGCCCACACTGTGGAGAAAGCCCCCCTTGAGTGACATCAGTAAGCTGGTGTACAGGTAGGGTGCACCTCCACGTCCCCATGCTCATGGGCTAGGGCTGGGAGGAGGTCAGGTACTGAAGCCTAGCTAGCTCCACCGGCCAAAGGAGGCCTCTGCAGCAGATATGGTTGTGGACCCTGAGGCCCTACCCCAGCCAAAATCTGTCACCCGTAACAGTTCATTTAGGTCACCTCGAGTGCCCACCCATTGCCTGTCAGGCATGTGGCCCAGGTCTCCACTGCCCATGATGACTACTGTCATCCTCCTCCCCCTCAGGGCAAAAAAGACCTTGTCCTGGTCCCCCAGGTGGATGCAGTGGGGCTTCTCCCCAAGAGGAGAGGTTTGAAATCTGAAGTCAGATCTATATAGGTCTAATTCCCACCCCCCAGGGTGACAAGGCGGTGGGGCCTGCCACTCAGTTGGGAGTGAAGGGCATTTTTCAGTGTCTGGCCCAGCTGGGCCTTTTAGGCAGCTGGGGAGGTTAAGTTAATAATATGTCGAAATCCATCTTGAAAAATCTCTGCTTGAGCCTGCCCTTGCCCCCAACCAGTGGGGGAAGTGGGCGATTGTCACCGGGGCCCCAGAGCAGTCCACCGGCTCTCCTCTTCTCCCGGCCCAAGGCACCGGCAGAAAATACCGCTAGCTGTTCTGTTTTTGCTATTTTACATCACCCTTTCCATTGTAAGCCATCATTTTCAGAGGTTTATAGGTCAGCTATATAAAAAAAAAAAAAAAACCTCTCCTCTGACTAAAAGGGGGCACTCTGAAACTAGTAGGCTCTGGTGAAGCTGGCAGAGTGAATGCTTGGGTGGTAGACAGCCTTGAATTCTTCCGCCAAAGCACGTCAGAACCCGGTCAGAGCCCGCAGCTCCTCACCCCACCTGGTTCCAGGTCCCTGGTCCCAAGACGCCTCCCTCTTGCCCTCCCCCTCCCCCTCAGCAGACCTAGAGTCGGCCCCCTCCCCATCTTCCCCCTCCCCATCTTCCGGGCCAATAGGCCATGAACACTTTGGGGTATCCTTCTGCCCAGTGGGGACCTCTGCCCCTGCCCCAGTCCCAGTCCAGCCTGGCTGGCCCCGGCCTGCCCCCGCCCCAGCCCCGGCCTGTGCCCCCCCAATGGAGGGGACTCTGAGGCAGTTGGGGCTTCACTTTGTTCACATCCATTGGTGCCGCAGGCAGGAAGGGGATCTTTGTCCAGTCCCTGCGGGAGCCCTCTGAAGCCCCACTCCCAGCCTTCTGCCCACTGGCCAGAGCCCTTTTCGGCCCAGGGTGGTGAAAGGGTAGGAAAAAAAAAAGATGCGGACATTTCCTTGAAACAAGAAAAATCACTGAGCCTGAGTGAGGTGGAGGCAGGTCAGGGGTAGGTGCAGCCCATACTAATTTGCAGCCCGGCCATAGAGGATGACACATAGGCGGCGCGGGCGGGGCCGCCCTGTTCTAAATGAAGAACTTGGAGCAGGTGGGTGAGGGCGAGGCCTAAGCCGAAAGAAAACCCTCCTTTCTTTTGGATCAACTTCGTAGAAAGCAGCCTGAGTCCGCCACTGCCAAGCAGCCACTTTGGCCCGCTCTCCAGCGTGTTCTGTCTCCCGGCTTTTGGGAGGGAAAAAAAAAAAAAACTGGAGGCGTGTACAAGCACAAACAGACTGGAGTTGCAGCAGTTTTCGGCCTCTTTATTTAGAACCCGGCGGACGATGGGCCGGGGCAGTGGTACAGTCGGCTCAGGAACCATTTTAACAGATTTGTCTTCAAGTTTAAAATAGTAACAGTAACAGTACAAGAGACAGCCAAAGCGCGAAGAGACTTGCAAGCTAAATGGGCATGTTTGGCGACTAGAGCTTGGGAGTGACCCCTTCCCCTATGGAGTCCGCTATAAAAATAAATGTACATTTGTGAAGAACCTGTAGCGGTGATATATAGTGCCTTTGGTATAACCAATAACCGAGATAGTGCGTGGCAGAGCGACCCACGCCTTGACATAAATAGAAAATATAAGTTAGTATAACTTTAGAACTTTTTGTACAAATATACATGGTTTTTTATTTTTTCTGTTTTTTTTTTCTTTTTTTCCTTTTTGTGCACTGAGTTTCAGCAGAGATTAAACATTTTATATAAATGACTCTTAAAGCTTTTACACCTTGGGACCAGTGTACTCTCTTCGGTGCAGAATACATTTAGATATAAAAGACGTTATTAATACATTGCACAATTTTCAAACTTTGAACACAAAACCGAACGCTGCTCTGCGGCAGCTGCCGCCGGTTGCTGCTACATGAACGGTCCCA